CATGGGATCAAATTACTCCAGAATACCTCTCCTCTCTAGTAAATAGTATGAGAGAGAGGTGTGAGGCTGTAATTGCTTCGCATGGTGGGGTTACAAAGTACTAAGAAGTAATCAATAACTACGGTTTTTATCATACTATCAGGCCTAGCTGACTACCTAACCCCGAGCTCAACCCCCTAGAAGAGCTCTGACCAGTGCTATTACTTACCCTTGATACCTCAGTACTACAGAGGTGCCTTTGCAAAGTTTTGTCTGACACTAATATCGGCGCTCCTGCCTTTAGGGTGAACTGTTGATTAATTGATACCAATCATCACTGTATACGGTTAGGCAATCGCTAGTCACTGAATGTTAAGCAGGAATCGCTAGCAACTGTATCAAAAGAGGTAGCAACTGTAGGCGAAGCGAGTGTATCAATATAGGAGAAAGATTGCGCTATTATATGAATGAGTTTGCGATCTGGACACCTGAGAGAGATGGCCCTCTCAAACCCTGAACGCGACCGCGACCGCGAAGCCAGCCGAGCTACTAGCACCACTGAAAAGACGCACAAGAAACACCACCGAGCAAAACGAATGCTACTGCAGGCGACCCCTACAGCTAGACCTACCAGCCGACGACTCCGACACTATCCGAATCGAAAGCAGCTGGTTCTTCTGCGGGCGTATTACTGCTGGGGACCCCGCTTAGCGATGTGCTAGGGGTCTGTGCATTACGTAGGGTGAGCTGGCCCAGGCTCTTGCTCGACCGATAAAACCGGAAAATAGCGCGCGGTGGTTGCGCGCGCTAGTAGCTGCCATCACCACCACGAACTGACGCGACCAACTACTATCAAAATAATCTTTACTAGTTAACTGTTTTATACACAAAACACGCTGAATAAAATACACTGGCTGCAGGTCAACAATCATGCAAATGAGAAATAGCGAGGTTCCGAAGCGAAAACTGTCCCGTTACACCGTGCGTCCCGGCACGCTTGGATTGACATTGATCCAAAAGCGTGAAAGCTACGCAAAGACGTCTATATTTATATATCCCTAATCATCTTGCCGTCTAGATGTAACAAAAAACCACCCTATTCCGGCCCCATAACTTCCAACCCCTTACAAACCCCTACCCAGCCATCTCTCAAACTCTCCCACACAACTTCCATGCTCTCTTCCTCCAGCCCATCCCGCTTACGTTCCCTCCTCTCAATCCGATCACCAGTCCCATCCGCCATCATAGCGGTAATGCGGTCACGCTTGCTGCTCCTCTCACTAAACAATGTAGTATTTGTTTTCAAACCTTTACCATCAAGTTCACCTTTGACTTCCCAGCCTCTGCGGACGGGACCATGGATGGTGGCGGGGGTGATGAGGGTGCTGTCGAGGAGGGCGTTCCAGCGGGAGAGGTACATTCCCGGGCCATGGGTTGTGCCTTGGCTGTTTGGTGATGAGGGTTTTGGTCGCATGATTGATTCTAGGCGAGATTGCGATGTTGATTTGAGGGCTGTGAGATGCTCTTCGTGTTTGTCGAGGAGCCTTTTTAGCTCCTCTTGCTTTTCTTTGCTTAGAGTCTCGAATATGGAGTGTAATGGTCCCGTCATGTTTCCTGCACCACCCTCACCTCGTTCTTCGGCTTCTAGTGCACGTTGGTCGACTCGAAACTCTGAGAATATGCGCTTGGCGTAGATTAGGAAGTCCTGCCCAAGATCCGGTGCGTTCTTGGTGACCTGGTGTAGGAACTTGTGCACCGAAGGCGCATGCCTCTTGAGCAGTTGTACAAACTCCTCAACTGTAGGAGCGTCACATGCTTCTTGATCCAAGATACTAGCTGGATCGGGTGAGCTTGGACGCGATTTGGAAGCCTCGCGGCTTCGGTAGCCACCCTTCTTCTTGGGTTTGGCAGTTTTGATCAAATCGGTAATGAAAGCCTCAGCATCAGTGACAGTGCCAGATAGATCAACGGCATTATGGATGGCCCGGATAACAGGATCCATGCCTGCGACGGCGTCGCGAATTGTAGAAGTCAAGACATCTGGATTGGATTTACAAAGCACCTTTGTGAGTTCCTCGCGGTCGCGAATAGAGAGATACGTGCTGAAGTACTCCATGGCCACGCTGTGTTGGTCTTCATTGAGGGATTCGGCATCAACCTTGTACGGTGGATCAGAGGTCTCAAGAATAACTGCCGCAATCGACTTGGATTCCGAGATTGACTGACTTCGTGCAGCTTCATGCCTTTCTCTCGGTGCGTATACAAACGTCTTGATCGCTTTGAAAACCCTCTTGTCCGGAGCGTTGCGCGATGCCTCGAGTTTAGTTGCCCGTTTCTGAAACTCCGATGTATCCCATGCTAGCACCGTAGAAATGATTTGTTGTAAGAGGTTCATGCCGTCGTTCGTATTATTGGTAAGACCTATCCAGTTAGTCATAGCTGTCACAGACAACTTTGCCAGGACCAGCCTGACCATGCCGTTAATCATGGTAGCGGCATTACCAACGCGCAGTGTTTGCTTGATTACGGTGTATGGAATGAGGCGGTGCAGATTCTCGAGGAGGCGGACAAGGTACTGGCCGTCGGGCGACATGATAAAGACATGGTGGAGGAAAGAGGCAGCGCTGGTGCTGTTAGAAGTAGTATGAAAATGCCGTGAGAATACTCACTTCAGCAGCATATACTCATGTGCTGCTTGTAGACTACTCGAATGGTCTTCGAGTCTCGGAGTCGCCTTGACCTTCTCATACAGTTCATCGAGAGCATTGCCGTAAATCGACTCGTGTACCAGGTCTTCGAAACCCTGAATGACATCCTTGGGTTTGCTGGTATCATACTCTTTCTTGCTTTCCTTCTGCTTCCTCGAGTAACCTCCCAGCATGCCCCTCGCGACGTACTCGGCAATGCTACTTGCTGCCGTTGCGAGCGCTTTCCTGCTACCAATAGCGCCCTTGTCGTAACTCTCGCTCAGTTCGGCTTCGGCCATTTTTGCGACTAGCGTCTGGATCTTTTCAGACCACCACGCCTCTCCAAAGTTCCTGATAGCGGGGTTACACAGCGCAAATTTGTTGAGCATGTTCTGTAGCAACGGGCTCGTCGACTGCACGCCGTCGGCCTTGCGAAACGGATAGCCATACTGGTCGATAGTCGAGGGGTATTTGAAGGCTTCAATCTCGGCGTAGACCTGGTGGTGGATCAGGATATCAAAGAGAGCGTGTGTCTGGGCGGGGGTGAGGGGTTTGGTTGTCGACATGGCTGCGGGAGGTGTATGACACCAGGCTCAGAAACGTAGAACAAATCCATGTCTGGTCGAACACGAGGATTGACGCAGATGCGCCGACGACACGCGGGGTACGTCATCTTGCCTGCAGGCTTGGCAGATTAGCGACATGAGCCGCTGCTACGTAGATCTTGGACCCCGCGTGTTAGCTTTGGACCTATTAATACCGCAGAGAGAAATAAACTGGAATTCAATAGCTTGGGGTAGGGCTGCTGGATCATGGAAACAAGGCTCTTGTTCTACGTTCGCTCACTAAACAACGATAGGGATGTACAGCCCGCACATACCTCAAGAATAGCATGTACTGCCTTTTGACAAGCACTGGATTAGCAACTTAGAGAAGGAAACCAAAGTCTAGGCTGGTTCAAAGACGTTTGAAAAAAATACTCCATCTCTTCCTTTGTACGCATCCCATCCTCGTCATGCCTACAACTTCGCCTCCATTTTATCCCCCACGCCCAGCAAGAACCTGCCAAAATATCCCTCAAGCCTCTCCCCAGCAGATGCATCCAGTGCCAAAACCATGCCTACCCATCCATCCGGCCTTAAGACAAACACCCCACCCTTCTCCTTATCAACCCCATACCTCGCAAGCGCACTGTCATCCTCATCATAAAACACACGCCCAAACGGCATCATACCACCCAACGCCTCATACGCAGACGATATACCCCGTCCAGAAACAACCGTAATCCACGACACCGGCCCTTCCCCACCACTCAACCACGGCACTTTCCCCACCGCCTGCGCAAACTCCCCAAGCCGCCCCCTCGACCCCTCGACCTCCCCCATGAAAACCAGCACGTAAAAAACCGCAACATTCGGCGTCTGAGCCAGCAACCGCGTCCGCTCCCACGTCCCCGGCTTAGTGAGCTCAACATCCGGTGCTCTCTGCCCAGCCCGCACCGTCCGCGACACATAGGCCATGTCCTCAGTACAAGCACCAACATTCAAATATCCATCCTGCTTATAAAAAATCCCCAGCCCACTGCTAAACGCCGCCGCCTCCGCCATAACAGTACCAAGAACCTCATTCGGATCCGCATCCGGATCCCCCTTCCACCCCTCCGGCAACTGCATCGTCATAAGCCGTGCAATATCCCTATCGTACTCGATCAAGCGCTGCACATTCGGTAGACGCTCTGCCTCATACGAGCGCAGGAGGTCGGGATACGCAACGCCCTTTAGCACCAGCGATAACTTCCAAGCCAGGTTGACGGCATCGTGGATCCCAGTGTTCATGCCTTGAGCTGCCCCGCTGCTATGCGTGTGACATGCATCACCTACTAGAAAAACACAGTCGTGTACGAAGAAGGAGCGAGCGATGCGTTGGCCTACTACGTAGATGGTCCACCAATCTACTTGCTTGAAGCGGATGGAGAACGGTTTTACGGCTTCGATGGCTTCCTTTTCAGCGGCCTCCTGGGTGAATTCAGCGTAGGCTTTTTGGCGCGCGCTCGTAAAGGCGAAGCCGATGCGTGTGGCGCCGCGGTCGAGGGGCGCCCACAGGACGTTGCCGTGGGTAGGGCTTTCGATGGCGCAGTAGGTACGGGGTTTGGGGTGGTTGGTTTCGAGGACGCCGTCGATGCGGATCCATTTGTCTTCGGTCGAGGTGCCGTCGAAGGGGATGTTGAGGGTACGGCGGACAAAGGATTTGCCTCCATCGGCGCCGATCAAGTAGCGGCATTTTACTTTGCTTTGATCCTTTGTTTCGCTGTGCTCAATCGTAACTAGGATTCTATACCCGCCGGGCTCGACGTCTTGTAGTACCTGGATATCGACCAGTGTGTACGGTGCTTGCAGCTCGACGCCTTCTTTCTTCATTGCAGTCCGGAATACGTCTTCTTGGTACTTTTGCCGTAGTACTAGGGCAAAGTCCCATTTTGTATCTTTCATGTTTTGCATAAATGCCCAGCCTCTGCCCTCAACTTCATTGCCATGTTGGTCGTAATTGGCCGTCTCACGGCAGGCGAAGCATTGCTGGGCGAGAGAATCCGCAAGACCAAGCTGCTCGAGCATCTCTGAGCTGCGGGGAAAGAGGGTGATGGCGCGGCCATACTGGTCTTGCGATGACTTGACATGCTTCTCAATAATTTTGATTTGGTATTTTGAACGGTCAAGATTGCGTGCAAGTTGATACGCGGTAATGAGACCTGGTTGAGAATGTTAGCGACGTCGGCATCAAAATGGAGGGCTGTCTACATACCGGCTGGCCCCCCGCCTACCACCAGGACGTCAACGTGTTCTACAGGTACCTCAGGGCTTGCCATTTTATCTAGTAGTAACAGTTTTAAGCTTGCAAGCACTACCAAGAGCTGCCTCTAATTTAAACCTGATCACGTTCAAAGGAAACAAGCTCTATTAGCCATGGACAAGCCACAATTGGACCAGAGGGTATGCGGGCTATCAAGCACTTGATAGTCTGATAAGATAAGCCGGCTGGATGAGCCGAGGTGACGGTGATCGACTATGTCCGTCTCACAATTAGGAAGGAGGTAGCATTGGCTATGCATCAAGGTTCAATCTCGCTTTACACCAAATCTTTTTCTTAGATTCATCTACATACTACATCTCTTGTACAAATTTCAGGTCGAGGTTATCACTTCACCAATCAACCAATCTACAGCCTCGCATCTAGTCAACCCAAGTATCCGTTTGCACTCAGCCACTCCCGCACAACCTTCTCATCTCGTGCAGCATAGGCAGCGTAACTACGAATCGTGTCATCCACAACCTCAAGACCCTTGTTGTAGCCTCTGGTATCCTTGTCGGAGAAGAACTTCTGGATGTCGTCCGCGACAGCAGCATCGGTAAACTTGTTGAGACCAAATCTCAGGAAGCGCTCTAGCACAACAGGATTTCCAGAGAGTGCGGGGTGAACCTTGGAATCCCAGTTGTCGCGGATGTAGTGCCATACTTGCACGCGCACCTTTGAGTTGTTTGCAAGGGCAATGGTTGACGAGTGCTTGTCTTGCATGGCTACGGCATCCGAGAAGACAAAGTCCATGACTTGCTTCGCAAGCTCAGGTGTTTGCACACGACCAAGCGAGCCCAGGCAAATTTCCTTGCCGTCAATGGATGTGGTGTTGAGATATTCGTTCTGCACAGCCTTGAGCGCTGTCTCACCACGGTTCTTGATGGCCGTGGAGAAGACGGCACGGCGGAGCGAAGGGTGGATGGCTTTCTTGTCTCCGCCAGAGACGTACGCGTCAAATTTCTTCAACGCCTCATCAACGGTAGCCTGGTGGCCAACGATACCAGCAGATAGGAGCAGGCTAGCGCGTAGCTGACCAACAAGGTAGCTCTCACCATCCTTGAACTCCCATCCGACCTTCTCGACAGCCGGTGTAATGAGCTTCAGGTGGTACTTTCTCAAAGCTTCACTGATATCCTCGCTACCGGAGAACACACTTCGGACGTTACCGATGTTGGTAAGAATCTGGGACCAGACAAGGTAGTCGGATTCGTCCTGGAAGCGCTCTGCTAGTGCGAGAAGCCCAGCAGTAGAGCCGTATCCAGCCACAGCATTGGCATATGCATCACCAACAAGACCAATCTTGTCCTGTACAGTGAGCTGGTCGCGGGCTTCTCCGAGCTTCTTCAGGCGGTCCGGAGGGTAGTTAGTTCTGTAGAAGCCAGTAAGATTCTTGTTGAGCTGGTAGAAGCCCTGGCTGACATCCCGGACTGTGTCTTCCTTTTGTGTCAAGGCAGTGGTGCCATGAACGGACGCCGTGGAAGGTGAGTCACCAGTGTGAAGACCCAGTGGGATCCACCAGGTAGTTTGGTCTTCTTCCGGCTTGACGTTACCTGCGAGAAGGAAGCGTTGCTGGCGAAGTCCGATTTGGCCAGGCTCTTCGGCCACAGTGACGACAGGGAAACCTATCCTGCGGACCCAGTGATCCATGAAGCTGTTGACGTCCTGGCCAGATGCCTTACTCAGGGCAGACCATAGATCGTTGGTTGTTGCGTTGGAGTACTGGTGGGCCTTGAGGTAGTCGGCGACACCTTGCAAGAAGACCTTCTCACCGAGATGAGCACTCAACATGCGAATGACGGAAGATCCCTTGAGGTAAGAAATGTGATCGAAAATCTGGTCAACTTCTAGGCCGTCGTATACAGGTACTTCGATGGGGTGAGAGGTGCGCAGAGCGTCAAGAGCGAAAGCTTGTTGGACGGAATCAGTCTGGGAAAATTGTCAGCAAGTTTGTAGAGTAGATACCTCGAGACTTATGACGTACGACAAACTGTCCCCAGACATTCCACTCTAAACTTTCTGTTAGCATGAATTCTACGACTTCATCAAGAGGCCATACCTGGATAAAGGTGGTCAATAGCGAGCCATCCGACCCAGGTAGCAAAACCCTCGTTGAGCCACAGCTCGCTCCACCAGTCCATGGTGACAAGGTTGCCGAACCATTGGTGGGCAAGCTCGTGAGCTACAACATAAGCCACTCGGTTTCGGTAGCTGTCTGCAGAAGTCGCAGGGTCGAAAAGTACTGCGGTCGTTCTGAAACTGTGTTAGTACTATGCTCAAGTCATATGGATTCCTAAAACCTGCCTGTAGGTGATGAGACCCCAGTTCTCCATGGCTCCGTGTGACTAGAAAACAAGGGTCAGCGTTACGCCACTATGGGGGAGGGACTGCACGTATAATTGGCTGAAGAGTCAACGCAATGTTCGGTGCACTCCACAGTGTTACTTACAAATTCATGAACGGCGAGTAGGTCGACCTTGGGAAGAGGATAATCAATTTGGAAGATTTCGGAAAAGTGGTCCACAATCTTGTGGCAGTTGTCCAAGGCGAAGCGTCCCTGCTCCTTCAGACCACGGGTTGTGTAGACCCTGACGGGGATGTTCTTGCCGTTGTACTTGCGCTCGGTGAAAGCCTCGACGTACTCAAAGTCACCAATAGCCCATGCCAAGAGGTATGTCGACATGATGGGTGACCTTTCAAAGGCAACAGTGTGGAAGCCGTCCCGCTTGCTAGGTTTGATTTCCTTCTCAGGCATGTTGCTGAGTGCAACCTGGTCCTTGGGCACTTCGAGCTCGACGTCAAACGTAGCCTTGAGGTTGGGTTCGTCGAAACAAGGGAAGGCGCGGCGGGCGTCGCAAGCTTCGAACTGGGTGCTGAACATGTAGTGGAACTCGTCGTCCTTGGCTACAGACGCAGGAACTTCACCCTTGGGCTTGTACTTTGAGCGGTAGAAACCAGCCATGACGTTGTTGACAGCGCCCTGGAACTGGATCTCCAGTACAGTCTCGCCAGTGTAGGTGATACTGTCGCCAAAGTTGAGCGTAACCTGCTGCCTCTTCTCATCGTAGCTGAAGTCTTTGGCAGGGTATGACTTGTCGCCAGCCTTCAGCTCAGCACTCTTGAGCTTGAGCTGGTGTGCGTTGAGAACGAGGGTGCTGAAGCCATCATCCTTGGTGATCTTTGTGTTGATCTTGACGGTTCCGTGGTAGCCAAACTTGCCGCCGAATTCGAGGTCGTAGAGGGAGAGGTCATAGTGCGAGGGCTTGGCCCTGTCAAACAATTGTCAGCTTCTCTTGGTCCTGATAACGGGCAGAATGCAAAGCAATCCACTGACCATGCTGGGAGGACATCGCGATCTGAAGCCATGTTTGCGAAGCTGCTGGTAACCTCGCTTTGACACAGTCTCTTTTGGATGCCGAATGCTACTGCAGACTGAGGGCGCGGCCTCAATTGGGTGCGGGGGGCAGAGTACAGCTGTTTGGTTGCTGCTGAGAAGTTCCTGGAGCGCTCAAGGTGGGCTGAGCAAAGATAGGACGAAGTAAGAGATGAAAGTGGGCCGGTAAGCAGCAGACGCGGGGAGTGCTTGGTGTCGAGCCGGGCACGAACCAGATGTCGAGAGCAGAGTCTCGCAGATGCAGAGAGGACAGCCAGCTTGGAGGGCAAAACGAGGGGCAAGATTACTCACGAGCGGGTTTCAATGGCACAAGACGGCGCATGAGGACTGAGAGGGGAAGGTGGGCGTGCGGCATGTCGGATGCCCCACCTCTTGAGACGATCCCTGCGGCGGCGTGTTTAGCGCGGGGTGCTTGAGATGCGTCTACTAGTACGCATCCATCGCTACAGCAAGTGCGAGAGTAGCTATTATCTCGACATGTGACATGCGCGTCATTGACTGCGCTGGTACGGTGGGTGGAGGCGTTCCAGACAATCTTCTTCGCCACCACGCCTGGCCAGGCAGGTGAACCCTCGCCATTGTCGCCCTCTGCTCTCCCATGCGGCACTCATTCATACATCATGTGGAGACGCGACTCGGGAAAATGGTAGTAAATGGTAGTTTTGTATCGTGGTAATCCCTGTTGCGCCATGCAAATGCTTCAGTTCCACGCCTAGTCATGCAGTGATGCCTTTTCCACACCAACCAAGCTCTCTGGCCACAAAACGCCGCACAAATACTTGCATTTCCACACGTAGGCTGCCACGTGCTGCACTGCTCTTTGCTCAGACTCGGATGAGCACGTCGAGACATTGAATCCGCCATTCCTTCTTCCCCAGCAATCCCTTGACCCACTCATAACTCTGCGCGTCGCTCGCCTGGCCCAATCCAATCTTTCCCTTTACTCCTTCCACCGCAGCCTTGACCACGACTTGTGCTGTATGGTTCGCAGCTTGTGCCAGTACTCCAGCTGTTTCTGACGCGGTGCCATTGAGCGCCAGTTCCGCGCTGTCCGACAGCGGCGCATCAAACCATGGTGTGTGGAAGTCGAAGAGCGCAACGACAAGAATGAAAAGGAGTAGCGAGCAATACACGCACGGTCGGTTCAGGAAGTACGTAGCCGATATGAAGAGGACAAGGTAGACGGGAGACGCATGAGTTCGCAATCTGGCCACGATAGTCAGCATGTGCACAGCGCCGCCGTCGAGAAGAGGCGATAAGACGCCTTACTTACAAGAAGAAAAGCACTGGTATCCAGCTTCGCAGACAAAACATTGTTGCGTCTTCAAGATGAGGGCAGAGACAATTGCCAGGCGCGCACGCGCGCTATGCTATTTGAGGACGTCGAGTCGCCTTCGCGAATCGCTTGGGATGCAGAGCAGCGGTCTACAGAAGATGGCAGTCGAGACACTAGACGCTCTGCTTTCTTATCACTAGGCAACGATAGTGGCGAATATGTAGCCGGTGAAAGACGTGTGGTGAAGGCAAAACAGCGAGTGAGATTATTAATACGGGGTATGAGGGCAAAACAGGGCGGGCGGGTTGCCAGTGAGATGGAGTTGTGCTGAGTTGCTGGCGGCGGGCTAGGGTCGGTTGATGGACGAGCCCTCCCGCCGCCGTCGCTGAATGGCGCTTGCATGCATACAGGTATGCACCGCCTCACGTGCTTTAGCCTTGTCGTCAACTACTTATTAGACTTTTTGATGCGACATTATCCTGACACATGCGCGTTTCGTCCGCTTATAACAACGATGAGCATGCCAGGATATGAGAATGTTCATAACAGGGTACTTGCTTACATATTCGTCCGCAGTGTGCGGCGAGTCGAACTTGGCAGTCTCGCATATCACGTGCGTCGACCAGCTACATAGTAGATCAACATGTTTCATTGCCAAGTCTCAATATACAGTACGCAGTCATTGGTATCTTGATGCAAGCTCCGTATAGCTCGTTTTCTTACGTCCCACAACGTGCACAACACCCGTCTAGGCAACTCCCGTGCACCTTTCCCAACCCATTTGCATCCTCGTCCATTCACCAAAATGCCCAGAAAACGCCTCCCTAAGTAGATATACCAGTACAGGAAGCCAAAGTGACCCCGTGCTCGGCCGCCGGCAGCAGAAAGAGAGCAGCCCTCATCATGAGTCCGTCTATACGGGCAAGTTGAACTTCTTGCCTTGGATGACCCTGGTAACCATTGGTTAGTCATCTGACCACTCACTAACCAGAACTAGACAACTCACTTTGTATAGTAGATGTAGAAGAAATCAGAGTACAGGATGGTTTGGATAATGCCCGCAATCACGGCAATGGGGTCGTAGAACTTGGGTACTTCAAAGAAGTAGCGGTAGATCCAGTTGGGAATGTACAGCGCTCTGTACGCGCCGAGTGCAAAAAGATAGTGCGTTGTAATGGTCTCCGCCTCGCCCGTCCGTTGAAGCATAAAAAGCTGGGGCAGAATCGCCACAGACTCTAGCCAGATGGAGAAAGCCCAGAGCATCTGTATGCTTGATTAACACAGCTCCTTGACGGTACTTGGACATGCCATACCTCGGGAATTGTGTGCTTGTACGGAAACAAGACGGCCAGTACAGCGCTAGCTCCCAGTAGATACTGAACTTTAAACGTGTCTAAATTTGGGTCGTGGGTCGGCTTGTAATCATTGAGCATCAGGTAGACGGTGTAGGCCGACGTGCTGATGAAGATGATTTTGAACACGGTCAGGTAGAGGGACTTTGGCTCGTAAAAGGTCCATAGCAGGTCGACGTAGCGCGTAAGATAGACGATCAGGTAAAGGAATTGCGACTTGAACGAGATACCGGAGGCGCTCTAAGAACACGTTAGCTCGAATCTTTGCGCGGTACCGTAGACAATTCCAGCGTACACTCGACGATTTCATCTTGTGCAGAAGAATCAAGATGGAGAGTAAGTGGGATAAATCCCCTGCGCGAAGTCAGCAATGCCATGATCCTCCAGCGGGCGCCGTCTTGGTCGCGACGGCCCTCGCTCTCCATTCTGCGTACCCAAAAGGCGGAAAAGATTCATCGTGGCGGCGGGTATGTCGCTGGGCGCTTACAGGAAAGCAGCAAATGTTTGGCGACAAGAGGTGGTGTGAGTGTGGAGATTCGCACTTTCTCACATAAAAAGACACGTTCCGACAGCTCTCTGTACGTAAGGACGGATGGAGCTACGTAGCCCTTGCCTGCCAAGCCCGATCCCTGCCAGGAACGTCACCTCTGATCGTCGCCGCTCCCGCAGTGGTTCGCATACCCAACGCGCACCCTTCCACGGTACATCTACGGCCATTCTTGTCTTGTCAATAATATAAGCCCAAGAGACCTCTACTACACCAAGTCGGTCAAAACGTGGACTGCCAACGTTGTTTGCCTTGGGCACAGCTGGAATCTGACGCAGCTGCTATGATTCGAACCATCAATGGATCCCTGCACGAGTGATACAAGCTAGCTCTCACACATCCGGAGAGCCCAGAAATAGCACGACCACTTCCAGCCCTGCGTTGCCATGGCCTACTTGCTGGGATGGAAAGATATCCTCCGGCCAATTCGTGATGGATATCGCCATTTGTTCCCCGCACCAGACACAGGGCCAACGCCTGAGGAGAGACGCAAACAACGCGATCTGGATCGACTCAAGGGCTTCGCTTACTTCGACACGTTTGATCAATTAGAGGCATGGACAGAAGACGACTGCGACTCTTTTCAAAGAGCCAACACGCCACGCATACGAACAGAGGATACGAGCGCAAACGATGACCTTGACAAAGCAGATGTTCTCTTGATCCATGATTACTCCGGAAACTACCATGATTATGAGAGCGTACAAGCGACTGGAATTGACATGGAACTTTATTCTTGTGAATATCTCCAATTTGTTGATGTATTCATCTACTTCTCACACAAGCTTGTCTGTGTGCCTCCGCCAACCTGGACGAATACGCTTCATCGCAACGGCGTCGAGGTTCTAGGTACACTCTTAGTTGAGCCACAGACTGAGGGCTCTGAGCGTCTCCTACAACATACACGTGATGGTCAAAATATGGATTTTCCGTTGGCAAAAACTCTAGCAAGAATTGCTGTGCATTATGGCTTCGATGGCTGGCTTGTGAACATTGAGAAGCGATTTCCAAATGATGTTTGGGACCCCAAAGTCCTCGAGGCCTTCCTTTGCCAGTTGAGAGCCGAAATGAGCGGTACAATGAGGCTTATATGGTAGGCACAAACTCCGTCATTTCCTAGTCATTGGGACAGTATAACGGTGTTTTAGGTATGATGCTCTCACCGTTTCGAACAAAATATCGTACCAGAATGCGCTGAGCATGTCCAATATCAATTTCGCGTCGGCCTGTGGAAGTATACTCACAAACTACTGCTGGAAAGACGCTGATGCTGAAAACTCGCTGCAGCTTGCTCTGTCAAGCAAAATCTCACCCAGAAACATTTTCTTCGGTATTGATGTGTGGGCGCAGAACAAATCCAGTTTCACTCACCCACGTGTTACTTATCCAGAATATGGGGGAGGTGGCACAAACACTGGTGTTGCTGTGGCTAAACTTGCCGGCCTAGGACTGTCAGCAGGCATATTTGCCCCAGCGTGGTCCTTTGAGCATTTTCCTGGAAAAGGGCGGGCCGCTGAACGGACAGTCTGGCAAGGAATCCCACTTCCGTGTGACATGGATTGCTCTTGCGGAGATTGTTTGTCGCGTCATCAGCCTAATGAGGCTTTTGCAATTCTCAAGAATGCGAAAGAGCGCGTGGCTGGGTCGGAAAAATTCTTCTACACCGACTTCACGCGCGCTTTTGCCACGCATGATGACACATCGAACGATCTATTCGATGGCTGTAGTGCCCATGCACAACTAGGTAGTCAGTCAATTCTTCCGCGTCCAACCATTTTCGGGGACGGGCATCAAGCTGTCGAGCTTTGGCACCGTCTAGACAGCAGCTCAGGTACTTCCTGTTTGGTAATCGAGGCCAGACAAAATCAGTTGGAAAGTGACCACACGACAGAGTTCTGGCTTCCACTTTTCAGATTCGACATGCCCGCAGATGCATCTTTACAAACTGAGATATTTAGTGACAATGCGTCATTACCAACTGGCCATAGTACTGTCAACTTCTACATTCGAACCACAGATTCTGTTCACTTTGCCACCATTGCACGCGGGAAAGGAATTCAGCGAACAGTATGCTCACCGGAGTCTTTGGTGCCTGGCACTCGCATCCAAGAGCTTGGGGTTCATTTGAAAGGCCCAATCAGTACTGCTCTAGGCAAGACCCTGCAATTGCTGAACATCACGAGTGTCCGTATTATACCTATTTCTACTTTTCAAACGTCTTCTTCATTCTCTATCGACCAAATACAACTTGAAAAACGAGGTGAAGGAGATTGTGGGCGCGTGCAACTGGTTTGGAGCTACAAGGACTATGGAAGAACTGACTGTGAAGACAACGGAATTCCCTGTAGCAAAACTACAGGGCCTTTCTCGCATTTTGTCATCTACACGGACAGAAGAATGCTGGGTAAAGCATACGCGTTGGGGCATGTTCTGAAAGAACAATTTGTTGAGAAGAACGCGGGATCGACTGTGGAATTTGAGCTTGTTGGGGTAGGCTTCGATGAACAAATACTCGCGAAGAGCAGCGCCAAGCTGCTTCTACCTTAAGCTGACAGAGCTTCAAAATCTAACGATTTTGCACAATGCGCTCAATTATATGTCCAAACACTGGGTGGTTGGGCTAAGAATGGACTAGTGCGTCAACGACGTCATCGACTACGAGGTACTTTCTCGCGTCGCATCACGGCTTGTTGTGTATTACACCACTGAACAATGAGATTGCTCGCTCAGCGATTAGCGAGATTGTCTCATGAATTGCCTCGGGTTTGTCATCAGCTGCATCCGTCTGCATTTGTCTTCACAGTATCACAAGCCCGACGGCTTCATGCTTCCACATTCACGATGAGCCCATCGAAGCGTATACATGAAACAGAAACATCATCCCCTAAGTCTAAGAGATCAAAAGTCGAGATACCTGCTTATCACCTTGCTCAATCGAGACAAGATGAGAGTGGTGAGATAGTTTGGCCAGCCAGGCGTGAACAAATCGAACGTGCGCGGACGATTATCAAAGAGTGGTAAGCTGTAATTCTTTAAAGTCTCATCTATGATTTGCTAATGGTCAACAGTGCTATTGCTCAGAAGCCAACTGTTATAATACCAGACAAGGACGCAGATGGTCTTTCTTCAGGTGCTATATTGTACCATACACTCACTACTCTTGGTTTATCATCTGATCTTATATCGGTATACTTTCCTCCAAAAGGCTCGAACGTCCATGATGAAAGTACAAAGGAAGTTCTTACTGCTAAGTCGCCAGTGTTTATCTTTGTTCTAGATCAAGGCAGCAGAAAGAGTCCGCCACTGATTGACTCCCTACATACATGTCTCGTTATAGATCACCACTTTGCAGACGAAGGGGGTTTCCCAGAAGGTGCCGAGTATGTCACGGCTCATGACTGTCCTCCTGTTGCAACAAGTGCCCTTTTGACATACAACGTCTGCCTGCCATTGCATGCAGACTTGAACGACAAGATCTCCTGGCTTGCAGCACTGGGAACCCACGGCGACCTAGGTGGCACCATCAAGTGGGAGCCACCATTTCCAGATATGAAGGCTACTTTCAAACAATACACGAAGAAGGCGATCAACGACGCCGTGGCCTTGGTCAATGCGCCGAGACGGTCGGCAGCTTATAATGTCGAGGATGCGTGGGCTGCGGTGCTCTCTGCAGAAAGTCCTGGCTCAATTGTCAAAGACGAGAAACTTCGCAACGCTTCTTTGGAGGTACGACGTGAAACCGAGCGCTGCACGCATACGCCGCCCACGTTCTCCGCGGACGCTACTATTGCCCTACTGTCGATATCCTCGGCTGCGCAGATTCATCCCGTCATCGCGACCCGCTGGTCGGGTACTCTAAAGTCAAACAAGCTAGAGATTGTAATGTGTGCGAACGAGGGCTATCTTCCAGATAGAGTCAATTTCTCGTGTCGAGTTGCCAAATGTGCACGGGCGAGAGAAGGGGAGGAGAAGATTGATATCATCAAGAAGCTCGAAGGCATTGTTGCTGGTGACAAAGACCTGAGAGCAAGACTGGGAGAAAGCTTCGCAAGAGGACACAAAGAAGCTAGCGGCGGTATCGTGGGAAAGCAAGAGTGGGAAGAGTTCAAGAAATTGATGGGCGTGGGAGAGCGTACGAAGAAGACGGAATCTGCCACTAGGAAGAAGAAGCCAACACAGAAAAACACACTTGCCAACTACTTTGGCAAGTCCGCAAAGGCATAGAGAACATAGACACGGTCACGTTTCGCCTCGATCGTGCAGCACGATAGATTGGCGCCGCCGTCGCCACCGTTGTACGGAAGAGGCGCCAATGAAACCCGGGGCACGACTAAGGGGTTGCAGCAGCAGGTAGGAATGCGAAAACATTCAATCTAATCCGGTCGCACCAGAAATGAAGGCCTCCGCTAATGACGTTCTTTTGCATCTTCGACTTGTTCGCGAACCGGCGTATCGGCCTCGAAGCCGGAAGATCTCGTCTAGGCGTGGAAAACACAGAGGCGACCAATGGTGCTATAGTGGCTTTGTTATGTTTCGAATATGGATGAGGTGGGTCTAGTGGGCGCCGCATGTCTAGGATGTTGACTTACCCAATCGACACGCTCCGTTTTGTCGACTACAATGAGTCGACAGAAGAAGACTGCGCATAGAGCCTCCAAGGCTTGGGTGTCATGGCATCAATGAAAAATCAGATTACATAGCTTACCCGATGTTTCCCATCGCCACAACGGTGTCGTCCAAATGACCATGCCTAATAAATCCAGCCTCATATTGCGGGGCACCACTGCATCCGAAACGACGCCGGTTGATGCAACACCCGACCAAAAAACGAATGCCGTGCCCAATCAGGCAAATTCCGGGGCGTGGAATGCTGCATCGGCGAATAGTAAACATGGGTGTAAATTGAGTGCTGATGAGCACGCGCTTCCTGGCAGGTGCCAAGAAAGCTTGGTTGGAGCGACGCAATCTACATGTGTGACAAACAATGGATTAGAGCCACAAGTCACGCAGAATCAGGGCTTGGCGAGATACTCGGTGGAGCAGTACTACTGGTATGACGGCCCGGGACAAAGCCGTTGCTGTTAGATTGCTCAGTGTCAGCCAGCAAGATGGGGCGTTCAACAGCATGAGAATAAATAAGAGCAGCCTTCTGCCTTGAAGTTGAACAGCAGGACACAGACAATCATTTTCAAACACTTTCACATCAACTCTCCATCGCAATCATGAAGTACTCCACCATCTTCCTCGCTGCTGCGACCACCGCCTCTGCCCACTCGACATGGCAGCAACTGTGGGTTGGAAGCACGGATAAGGGGACCAGCTGCACGCGCACTGTCAAGGATAACAGCCCTATCGACAGCTTGTCTTCATCCGACATGTTCTGTGGTCGTGGTCCCGCTGCCTCATCCGGTGTCTGCGAGGTTGCTGGTAAGTCTCAATTTCCTCAAGCTTCCACTCCAAGAAGAGGAGAAAAACACCATCTCCATTCCGCCCTTGGTACTATGCAATAGACATTGGCTAACACTAAACCCAGCCGGTACTTCTCTCACAGTTGAGATGCACGCTCAGCCCGGCGCGCGCTCCTGCTCGCAACCTGCCATCGGCGGCAACCACTACGGCCCGGTCCTTATCTACATGGCCAAGGTCAGCGATGCCAAAACCGCCAGCTCTGGCTCTTTCTTCAAAGTTGCCGAGGACGGATACACTGGTACCACCGCCTCATGGGGAACTGAGATCCTCAACGCAAACTGCGGCAAGCGCTCCTTCACTGTTCCCAAGAACCTTGCTTCTGGCGACTACCTTGTCCGCGCCGAGGCTATTGCCCTGCACGCCGGTGCTGGAAGCCCTCAGCCCTACGTCAGCTGCTTCCAGGTCAAGGTTACTGGAGGAGGCAGTGCTACGCCCTCTGGTGTCAGCTTCCCCGGTGCCTACAAGATCAGCGACCCGCTCTTCACAAAGGCCATCTACGACTCAAGCTTCAAGTACGTCAGCCCTGGCCCTGCTGTCTACTCTGGTTAGGAGGCTTGAACACCAGAAACGACTCTGAACGAAAGAGATGGGTAGATTGCGGTGGCTTGGTGAAATGCGATTTTTACAAGACGGGTGAGAGATTCTTTGTATATAAACTTCTTCGACTCCATATTGCTTGGACCATCTTTACATACCACATATATACCATTTGAAATAGGAATACCTTCTTCTTCTCCCATCCCTCTCTCCCTTACTAAGCCCCCTTTTTTTTTTACCTTTTCCTCTAATAAACCCCCTTTGCAACTTTCTCGTCATACGCCAACACGGCATCAAGCAGCACCTGCGCCCCCAACGCACAATGCTCAGGACTCGTATACTCCTCAGGATTATGACTAATTCCATCTCTGCTCGGCACAAAAATCATACTCGTAGGTACCACGCGACTTGTCCACGCACTATCGTGGCCCGCTCTACTCATCATGCTCATGACCTGGTCTTTGCCCACAAGCTTGACCGCCGCAGCCCGCACAGCCTCGATGCAATGCGGATGAAACTTTGACTCTGGGAGGCCCCACGTGCGCTGCACCGTGTAGCTCGTGCCATTCGTTTCCTCGGCGATGATTTTGTCGAATGCGGCGAAAATGGCAGTGGAAAGCTGGGCCACCAAGGCGTCGGTGGAGCATCTTATGTCGATTATGAAATCGACGCCTGCGGGAATCGTGGCTTGGGATGCCGTGTCGCTTTTTATCACGCCGACGGTCGCAACGCCGAGTTCCGTGTGTAGTGCTGTGTCGCGGACGGCGGTGATGAGGCGCGAGGCCGTGACGAGGGCATCTGAGCGGTCGGGCATGGGGGTGGTGCCTGAGTGGCCTTCTTTGCCCAGCACGCGGATGGCGTACCATTGCATTCCCTGGACAGTTTCGACGACGCCGACGGTTTTCTGGGCGCGCTCGAGTAAGGGGCCCTGCTCGATGTGGAGTTCGAAGTGGCAGTGGAGGGGGTTGTCGAGGTGGGAGCAGGGGGTTTCGCCGAGATAGTTTATGCTTTGCAGTGCGTCTTTCATGGTTATACCATCGGTGTCGAGGACGGACCAGCAGGCGGAGAGGGGGGTGCTGGAGTGCTGGCTCCAGACACCAGAGGACATCATTGCGCCGGGGAAACGGGCGCCTTCTTCGTTAGTCCAGTTTATTAAGGCCAGGGGACAGTGGGTTGAGATGTTGTTTTCGTGGAGGGTACGAAGGACTTCGAGGGCAGCTTGAACGCCTAAGATGCCGTCGTATCTGGGTTGGAGTTGGTAAGTTTAGTCAAGCTGGGGGTTGATATGCTGGTGTGCCAGTACCTCCCACCTGCAGGCTGTGTATCCATATGACTGCCCATACCAATTGGCTTCTTGTCGTTGGCTGTACCCTCACGAATTGCAAAAATATTTCCCATTTGGTCAACCTTGATTTCGCATCCCAGACTCTTGCATTCTGCCACTAGCCAGTCTCGCGCGGCTTGATCTTCTGGCGTGAGAGTGAGACGACACATGCCTGTTGAAGGGGCCGCAAGAGCGCCATATTGTGTACAAGTATATTGTAAAGTACTGTTCAGTCTGTCTCCATTGATCTTGAGAGAACTCGAAGTCATTGTGATGACTGCAATGCAAGCTGTGGTGCTTCAATGATTTTATGTTTTCAAAGATAGTAGTATATAAACAGCGGTCCAACTCTCTCCAACGTATATCCAGCCGAAAAACGTGTGTTTACTGGCTATGACAGAATTATATGACTGTACAGAGCTCCGCATATTATGCTTACTTACTCCAACTCTACGTGTTCAGACGCTGATAAGGTGTGGAGGAGCAAAGGTGGGGCAGATGTGAGTGAGGGGTTGAGATATGCACCTCACTATCTTGGACTAGCCTTCCTCCAACTACCACGATAGCCGACGACATGTATCTACGAATGCTTTTGTTCGCTCTGCCTCTCTTGTTATTTGATTCAAAGGATTGAGAAAGGCCGAGACACAATGGCAGCCGAATATGATTTGCTCATCATCAATGGAGTAGTGGTTTCGGAAACAGATGTCCAAGAGTTGGATATCGCCATCAAGGATGAGAAGATTGCAAAGGTAGTCCCAAGAGGGAGTTTGGGAGATGCCAAAGCAGCAAAGACGATAGACGCCGAGGGAGGATACGTGATGCCAGGAGGTGTAGATGCACATGTCCATCTGCAAGAACCCCCATTATTCGGCCAGGGATCAACAGCAGACAACTACGAGACAGGCAGTCGATCAGCCGTATGCGGAGGCACCACAACCATGATTACATTTGCGCCTCAAAAAAAGACGGAAGATACCCTTCTCGACACCCTAGCCGCAACTCACGAACGAGCAAAAGACAACTGCTACATCGACTACTCCTTCCACATCATCGTCGGCAACCCATCTGAAAAAGCCCTCTCCGAATTCCCAACCCTCCGCACCGAAGGCATCTCGTCCCTAAAAATCTACATGACATACGAAGCCCTCCAACTCCACGACGGCCAAATCCTCGACATCCTCCTCCACGCCCGCAAGCACTCCATCACCACCATGATCCACGCCGAAAACGGCCAAGTAATCGACTGGATGACGGCGCAGCTCGAAAAGCGGCACCTTTTCGCCCCAAAATACCACGGCTCCTCACACCCGCCCATGGCCGAGACAGAAGCCACGTACCGCGCAATCTCCCTCTCCGAATTCATGGACACGCCCATCCTAATCGTCCACGTCTCCACGCCCACCGCAACCACGCACATCAAATCCGCACAGGACCGCGGCCTACCCATCTACGCAGAAACCTGTCCGCAATACCTCTTCCTAACCGCCGCATCCCTGGCCGCCCCGGGCTTCCAAGGCGCAAAATGCGTATGCTCCCCGCCGCCCCGCGCCACCGAGGCAGACTGCAACGCCATCTGGGCCGGCCTGGCCAACGGAACCTTTACCATCCTCTCCTCAGACCACTGTCCCTTTCGCTACGACGACGCCGTGTCCGGCAAGAAAACAAGCATTTCGCCGCATTTCCCCCTCGGCAAGTTCAAGTACATTCCCAATGGCTGCCCCGGCATCGAAACTAGACTTGCACTCACCCTCGGCGCGAACCGCTTGCCTCTCACCAAGTTCGTGCAACTCACGGCCGCGAATCCCGCAAAGCTTTATGGACTTTACCCCACAAAGGGCGCGTTGACCGAGCGTGTGTCCGATGCCGATGTCGTCGTGTGGTATCCAGAGGGCAAGATGCAGCCGTTTGAGCTGACGAATGACTTGTTGCATCATGATGTGGATTATACGCCATTTGAGGGGAGGGTCATGACGCAATGGCCGCGGTATACGGTGTTGAGGGGGAAGGTGGTGTGGGATAGGGAGAATGGGGGGCTGAAGGGCGAGAAGGGGTATGGGCGGTTTGTCAAGAGGGAGCAGAGTAGTCTTGCTAAGCCGAGGAATGAGGGCGAGTGGGTTTTGCCGTTGTAAGAGTGTTGTGTGGTTCACAGGGGGGGGGGAGACCGTAAAGTGTTTTTTCGTTCAGATGTTTTAATTATTATTTTTGATTTCAAGATTCCAGTAGATGGAGATATAGATTGATGGATCTCAATGTACAATGTCTGGTGGATGGAACATGTGTGATATTGATTTGCTGCAAACATCAAAGGTTTTGCATATATTGTATGTGGTAGGCCTTGAGCAGAGTGCATGACCTCACAGCTCCTCAAGATCCTCATCACCCATGTCAAGAGGCGGGAAATCGCCAGCTTCGCATCGCTCGGGCCGCACAAACACGCCATAGTTAGGGCCGCACTCAAAGTATCGCTTGCCCTTTACGGAACCATCATTCTTCCCCGTCGGCTCGTCGAGAGTAACCCCCACCCAGACACCTATGCCCGGGATCTCTGGGATCAACCCAATGTACGACACTGTGCCGCGGCGTGCATCCGACTCGGGTAGTAAGCGGACACGACTCGATACAGATAGACCTAGTGAGATCTGTCAGTGATCGCTCTTCGAGTATTGGTGTGGGTCAATCAGTAAAGTGTATGTCCGTATTTGCTCATGAGTAGCGAAAATAAAAGTGGCCACCCCCTTGCTATGGAGCGGAGCCTAACTCAGTTTGAACCTCAACCTTGTGTACAAAGGAGCAAATTGTGGCGACGATAATCGAGCGAGATGGCTCCGAAGTGATTGGCTTTTTGTGTCGCGCAGGTCCCAAGCCGCCAATCTGCTGCCCCCCCCCTCTGGCACACATACACCGAGTTGCCACATATGAAGCGCCCGTTGTGAGGAGCGCTGAGACCTAAACAAGGGATACGATCACGAACTGACGATGCACAGGCGAGACCGGCGGCATGTTGCAGCCGCGATGCGCTGCGGCGTTGATTGTCTAGACGCACAAGCGATATCCTCGCTCCAATATAAGCCTCAAGGCTGTAGCGCGCGACAATTGATACAGGCCCCGCCACCCGCCGAGCACCATCACCATGTTACTGCAGGCATTCAATTCCTCGTTGCAGGCGTGGCTTGTGGCGACCAAGTCTCAAATTAAGGAAGTTTGGAGTGTGAGGGTGGTGACAGGCGGATTTATCATTGCATTTGAGTTTCGGGGAGCCTCGTTCCGATCCTTAGCTCCCAGCGGGACGGGAAGCGAGGCGAGGCGAGAGTGATAAAGCGAGAGATATAAACAATCTCCCCCGAGGCAACCGAAACCTGCAATACTCGATTGCCAGTTTACTATGGTCGATTGGACGTGTCCAGACGCCGTCGCAGATGGTATGGTAGTAGGCCCCTGGCCAAAGGGGGCCCAGGGTCTCATGCAGGCTGCTGAAAAGAGTAGATTTTGTACAACCGGTTCGGTGAGACGGCATCAGGCCTAGAAAGTGCTTGTCTGACATGCTTACTTCCTTGTCGATGCTTCATGACTGGATGAAACCTGCTGACATGATGTGTGTGGCGAGACCTTGGAGTCGGACGTGCGCAGCCGCGGCTTTGGGAACCGTTTTGAGGTATGTACATTACGCGTGGAGGAATAGTGGTGTAGGAGTAAGTTGAACCAGAGCAATGCCCGCAATTGTCAATTGGTTCCAGAATTGCTTTTTCTCTCTCTCTCCTAGAACACAGCCACCACTGTCATACGAGTACGTGGCCCGAGAGCTGCAAAGGAGACGGTTACGCTTACCTCTCTCTTCTACTTCACGCTCTGAGGCGCGGATCTTTTGTTGTTCTATGCTGGGAGCGTTTGGATCAAACCGCCCAAGCTTCTGAGCCTTCTTCCATGCAAGAACACTATCGGTCCGATGCTCGTACTCTGCCGCCGGCATCTCATACTTCTCAACGGCGGACAGGTCATTGAAGTCTGTACGTGCAGCGGGTGGACGCGTATCTACAACCTAGAGATTGCATGTCAACGCAAGAGGCCATGTACGCGCAGTGATTTGTTCGCACAGCCCTGTCAGAAGAACTATGGAGCTGAACGGTCGGTGCAGGGGTTGTGTCGTGAGGCAGGACGAAGTGTCAAATAGGACCGAGGCGCCGAGCAAAAAGAAAAGGAGAGCAAATGGGCAAGAGAACAAGAGAGGAGCGCAATTGGAGTCAGGAGACGCACTGCTCAACGCATGCCAAAAGGCTCCGTGCTCACAAGTGGGCAGACGACGGCGGAGGAGCCGAAGGATGGATTTTCCCGCGACTGCCAGGCTGACAAAGATGGAGTGTGCATTGCGGGGCAGGGCAGGATATGCGGCCACAGGCAACAGCGAATAGGAGGAGAGAAGACACAGTACATGCACGTACCGAGTAAGTAGAGCAGTTTCAAGGGGAGTAGGGAGTCAAGCCGGGGGAGAGGCAGGGCAAGGAGATGTGGCAGACGGCGAGAGGACAGCATGTCAAACGGGTCAAGGACAGGGCTGGCAGTGGCTATGCAATGAGAAGGAGAAGAAGCACTTACGGAGATCTCGGCATACGGCTGCAGCGGGAAGGCAGCAAGCTGGGTATGGTCTTCGTCTGCAGCAACGAGCGCAACGGGGTCCTGTGATGCCAGCCGTAGGGACAGCTGCTGACAGGCTGCGGGAATGCCGGTAATGGGCTCGAGGCGTGTCTTGAGATAGGCAATTGTCCACGCGGGGGAGATGCGACGCTCAGAGGACGAGTTGGGGGAGCTAATGAGAAGCGGCACGTCTGCCGCGCTTTGAAGAGACATGATGGCCAGCGAGGGCGAGCTAGGCAGGCGGCGAGAGTGGCAGGAGTTAGTACTTTGGAGCGAGATGAGGAGGCGAGGGGAGGGGAGGGCCAATGGTGTGGCAGGCGAGGCTAAAAGCGGTTATGCGACAGCAAAGGGCAAGCCTGCAGCAGCGCCAGCAGCAACCGCAGTGGTGCTGGCGTGCTGGCGAACCCAGTGGGGGAATGGATGACTTGTCTGGTCCTGACAGGTGACCCGCTGGCGATGCGGGCTGGGGGTGCGTGGGTTGGAGCAGTGCAGACAAGAGAGGATTGGATAGGGCTGCGGGCGTGCAGCGCGGCCGGATTGGGCATGTGAAGCGAGCGCCGAGGCCCGCGACTCCAACTCGAGTGAATGTCTCTGAACACATGACGAACGCCCGTTGCCCACGCCGACCCCACGCGCTCATATCGCTGCTCTCGTCGCCGTGGGAGCTGCAGCGACGATCCCGCGCCATGCGTTGGCAATGTCTCTGCGCCCGTCACTCGGCCCACGAGGCGCTGTGCTGAGCAGTCGACGAACGCGCGCCCATGCTCGTCGGCTCCGATTGCCCTGCCCGAAACCATGGCTTGTCCGGCCAAGCCAGAGCCATATTGCACCGGCTCTGTTTTGCGGACGGGCGGCCGTCGAGAGCAGAGGCGCCGGCGTCTTGAGTGTAGTGCGTACATTGCTAAGTACATGTACTATGCGATAAATGGAGTGGTCAACAAACCAGCCGGCGCTTGCACTCGGCTCACCGCTCCCCTGTATGCCACGCCCAAGTTGTCCAAGTACGCTTTTGTGTGTATGTAAGTACACACACACATATATATACATGTATATATTTATAGACAGAGGAGGTCAGGATTGTGCTGCGCCGACACATTGACGTGTGCATCCGCATCGAGCCAAGAAAGCGGCCAGCCAGACAAGCCATGGCGGCTGTGACACGGCGGAGTCGTATATGTTCACAGACATGCTTGCTTATTAGACCGTCACTTGTCTAGCATGTACAAGCGTACACCACAAACTAGCAGGGACGGCGGGTTATTAGAGAGCATGGCAGGCCCAGACTGTCATGGGCTTTTGGTATGAGAATCGGATTATGGCATGGCGGACCGGTGCAAGGCAGGTATTGCAGCATCCGCCCGAGGGAAGAAGCGGGTGCTTCAGGTAAGTCGCCGATGAAAAGCCCTTTTTTCCCCTTTGACTCGAGCGTTCACGGACGCACGGGGACGCTGTTCATGGCTAATGCACGTCTAAGCCCGTCCCCAAGTGGCCGTGGCCGTGGCCGAGAAGAGAGGGGGCGTGCTCTGTCTGTCTCCGCCAACCTCACAGTGGCCATCCGTGAATAGCAAACCAACAGCGTGTGTGCAGGCAGGCAGGCAGGCCTCACCGCTTAATGCGCATCATCCGAACCCTTGGCCTGGCAGCGAGGCAGTGATGCAATGGAGCATGGTGGGCGGACGTGTGTTCTGGGGGCGGCGCACGCAGATATGACCTGGCAGTGCGGCGCCTCGTCGTCGTCGCATGTTTGCACTGGACGGCACGGGCAGGGCGGAATGGGATGGATGTCGTCGGGCAGTATAGTACCGTCCCGTACAGGGCAGCACAACGTGGCTCCGTCGTGGGCACGAGACCGAGCAGAACAGGACAGCACACAGCACACACAACCGGCAGGCCAGGTCGAATACGGGTCAGGCCGAAGCAACGACGGCTCCATCCAAGCTAGACGTCACGGCCATGGCATGGCCGGCAGTTCACCGCAGTTCACCGCTCCTCTGTGCATGCCATGGCATGCTTCTAGTGCATCTAGGGCGCTCACAGCCCACAGTGGGGGGGCTTGACCGGAGCCGTCGAGGCAGGTGTTGCAGGGCGTGGAGCCACAGTGGCCGTTGGCAGCCCTCGGGCGTGAACACATCACCATGTATGCACCGCTACAATGAAGTCAGCCGTTCGCAAGGCTTCGGTAGCGACGCGTCTGGCGTCAGAGATAGCCGGAGCAGGGCGAGCATGCTGCAGATCTTCCATGTCATGGCGCTTGACCTCGTCCGAACCCGAACCGTCTGCGCGAATCCCTGAGGCTGTTCACCGCTTGTGTGTCGCCTTGATTCGCTGCCTTGGCCAGCAGAGGGCAGCGCTGCAGGAAACACGCCCCGGATGCTGCCATCTTTGTCGACGATCGTGGCCGTGACTGTGTGAGAGAGCAAAAAAAGAGGAGCAGCACAGCCAGCACCCCTGCTATATGCTCCATGCTGCTCGCTGCAAACGCCGCCCTCGCCGCCCTCGCCGCCGCTCGCCAGCCCTGTCTTGGGCACGCGCATTGAGGCCTGACGAAACGAGAGGGCAGCAAATGAGACCCAGCACCGGCCGTCCGAGGCGTGCCAGATACGAAGGCCATCACTGCCGCCGAGTGGAGTGGGCGACGACGGACGGGCTGGTTCGTTTGTTCGTTCGTCAACGGCGGCTCACCCACCACGCAGCCAGGGCAGGGCAGGGCAAGCAAATGCAAAGACCCAAGACAGGGCGAGCACCCTCACACGCACACACGCACACACATTCACACGCAGAGGCCGGAGCCAGAGCCGGAGCCGGAGCCAGTGCCAGCGCCAGCGCCAGGGCGAAAGAAGGAGAGAGAAGGGCATAGTAGAGTAGTAGTAGTCACAACAACAAGGCAAGACGTCAAAAGACCGACAACTAAAACGACTGCCACTACTGCTGCTGCTGCTGCTACTCCTCCCACCACGCAAGACACGTCATCCTAGCGCCTCTGCCAGCGAGAACGGGTGTCGTGCTTCTTGTGTCAAGCTAGCTGCTCTAGCTGCTAGCCGCAATCCGCAATTTGGGCCTGAGGGGGAGCGTCTATCCTTTTTCTTCTTGGGCGCTCGCTAAAATCTCCGGCAGACATGCTTCCTTAGATCAGATCAGCTCTGGTGTCGTCGTGGTCTGTGGGTCGTTAATGTGGCGCGCCGCCAGCACGAGTCGACAAGGCGTCAAGCGCACAGGTAGTCAGTCAAGTCACAGACGCAAAGGGTACATCCTGATCCCAAGCCCCCGGAATCCCTATCCCTACCGCGGACGATGATGCGGCGCCAGCCAGGGCCTCGCAGGGATGCCTGTTATTAGCATTACAGTTGCACGCTAACCCTCTCTACTCGCACATCCATGCTCGACAAAGTACCTCAGACCCTCAGACCCTACTTCGCTCCTACCAGACCGCATCCACCATCCCTCCAACGCTATCCTCCCCGACCTGCTCGACCTGCAAAAGTCAGTGGCTCAGCACGACCGTCACTCATCAGACCAAGTGGTTGGCCTGTTTCACCCCCTGCTCCCCGGCCCCGACCCATCTCCCAAATAGCTCGACTCGATCGACCACTTAGAGCGTCAATCCTCCACTGTACCTCACAACTGGTTAACTGGTTCCCTCTTCGGCACATTTAGTCTATCCGAACCTCACTCCTCTCCTCACGCCTGTCCTCTCCTGTTCATCTCCCGCCCACCCCTCCCTCCTTGTTGTGTTGTTTACCCATCAACGTCACCTCACCTTAGCAACACTACGCAATCTTGTGCATAGTCCTCCGTCATTACCTTGGTTGGCTCTTTGCATCTACTTTTGCTTTGCTCCTCCTACCAACGCACGCATACACACACATACATACAACCGCAAAACACTACCAGGAACCTACTGCTCGTTGTCGTCATCGTCGGCAATCTTTAGAATCATTTGGTGGAAGTCCGGAGACGTACAACGTAAACCTAACATTAGCTTATGGGCTGGCGTAACGCTGGTCCTTTTCGTTCATCCTGGATATCAATCTCCTCCTCGAGCCCCGCGCCCGGGGCTCCGAGTCGCCGGCCAGCAAGAAGAGCTCAGTATCTAATGCATCTCACTCAACCGGAGCTACACGGGGATACACAACCGCACCCTCGGCCTACACACAGTCGCCGGCACAAAGAGCATCGCCCGCCTACGCAACTGGATCGCCAGGCTACGCCACTGCACCCCAACACTATGCTCCCATGGCTGCCTACCCCCCACAGGCACCAACATCAGCTCCCAAAGGATCCGCACCAATGCTAGGAGGACCCGTTCTGCCCGCCATTGCAGAGCTTCACAGACGGAATGAGTCTGCGCCGCTTCCCCAATTCCGCCAACTCTACTCAGGACCCCATGGACCCACACCCGCCCACGGCGGCCCAGCACCTACTAATGTTTCTCCTCCATCAACACTGAAGCGCCAAGCATCCCAAACACCACTCCCCGACGAGAGCCCCGCTAAGAAACAATCCAAATGGACTCCTGAAGAAGACAACCTAACAATAGAACTGCGGGGCCAAGGCATGAAGTGGGATGACATTGCAAAACGACTTCCCGGAAGGAGTTCCATCTCATGCCGTCTGCGATACCAAAACTACCTAGAGAAGCGAGCCATCTGGGACGAGGAGAAGAAGAACAAGCTAGCACGACTTTACGCCCGGTACGTACATTAGAAAGAGAGAGAGAAAAAAACCGGCTAGAACTTAATTTATTTTGGACGGCCGCCCCTCCCCTACAAGGCTGGCGGTGAATGTTTTTTTGGTTTGTTCGGTCAGGCTGGCCGCGCACAAAAGACATCTCACACACACGTGCGACACAACAAGGACAAAAAAACAAATACTGACTTTTTTTGGGAAATAGATTCAAGGACCAAATGTGGCAGAAGGTTGCTACCGAGATGGGTATTCCCTGGCGTTCAGCCGAATCCATGCACTGGCAGTTGGGGGAGCAGGAGATGAGTGCGCGCGCCAACGCGCCAGTGTTTCAGCTCCACCCATCTGCAACGGGAACAGGCATGAGCTCGCCATCGCAGGTGCCTGTCATACCCGCGTCTGCACCCCATGGCTTTACTCCCGCAAACGCAGCTCAGTTGATGCCAAACCCACCACCGATGCCACCGCAGCTTCACCAAGCACCTCCGGCGCCCATGGCTCAAGGCCCGATACACGGCTACCACCACCGCACAGACAGTGGCTCCAGCGCCGGTGGCAGCGGTGGAGGCGGTGTCGTCGGCGTCGGACGTAGGCGGAACAGCTCCTTCAGCCGGCGACGGGCAGACGCTCGTTCACGCTCGAGCGTGCCACCACAACTCGGCCAACCCCTCCCACAGATCCAACCGCGGTCCGAAGAAGATTTAGTCAGCGGAGCGCGAACCGCACCCGTCCCGGACATGGCGGGGTCACTGAAACGAGAGGGCGAGAGCCTCAGCTACATGGAACATTACCAACGGCGGCGCCAGCAAGAAGAAGAAACTGCTTCCTCGGCCCCAGCAGCAGCTACCTCTGCACCACCCCCAAGATCAGATCCCTCGGACATGCAACAACAGCAGCAACAACAACAACCCTACACGATGCGCAGCCCAGATCGAATGTCCCAACACAGCAATACAGGCAGCATCCACAGCCTCAAACGCGACCCCGAAGACAGCACCTCGGACCGCCGCTCTCTCGCCTCCCCCTACGAGCGCCCCACCTCGACCGTGCCATGATCTCTCCCTTCCATTCAACCTTTGTTCGAATCTGAAGCGTTTTTTTTTATACTCAGCATCAAGCCCCGGGGTGTGTTTGCCCAACATCTCTGGTTTTTTTTAAACATATACATTCACGCTCTCAAACGAATCTTCTTTCTCTAGGCTTTTATAGATCTTAAGACCTCCCTCATCACTCCTTTCCCCCTCCCCCCTCCTTTAACCACCACTACCCCTCTCTCTCTCTCTCTCTCTCTCT